AAATAGTTCTCAGGCCCGTGGTGTGATGAGCTTCTTCCAGATGCATGTCTAGGGTCTGAACACAGGGGCATTAGGTATTTCTCAAAACTAAGACACAGTTATTCATATAAGAGACCACTCTCATACGGACTATTTAAAAAAATATTATAGCATTAACCCTAATGCTGGGAAGGATTAGGGGCAGGAAAGGAAGGGGATGACAGAGGATGAGATGGCTGGATGGCATCACCGACTCGATGGACATGGGTTTGAGTAAACTCCGGGAGTTGGTGATGGGCAGGGAGGCCTGGTGAGCTGCGATTAATGGGGTCGCAAAGAGTCGGACACGACTGAGCGACTGAACTGACTGATACATACAAAACTCAAGTTAAGTATGTCTTCAGTTCACAGTTCTTAATCACCAACGTGAAAGTCGCTTAGTCGTGTCCGATTCTTTGCCACCCCATGAACTATATGTGGTTCTCCAGGCCAGAATACTGGAGTGAATAGCCTTTCCCTTCTCCAGGGATCTTCCCAACCCAGGGATCAAACCCAGATCTCCTGCATTGCAGATGGATGTCTTTACCAGTTGAGTCACAAGCAAAGCTCTAGAATATGAAATGGTAACCTATCCCTTCTCTAGTGGATCTTCCCGATCTAGAAATTGAACCAGGGTCTCCTGCATTGCAGGTGGATTCTTTACCAACTGAGCTATCAGGGAAACCCATGCATACAAAATACAAAATTAATAAAATCCATATTAAAACATTAATGTGAGGAGTGATATTTTGCTGAAACTAAAGAGGTGGTGAAACCTCATTAGAAGAAAGCTATAGATGGTGTCATTCAATAATTCACCTGATTAAAATGATTTGGAGCTTAATACACTATTGTCTGAATTACTGTGATTAGTGATTTCCAGTATTTTAACTTCTATTCAAAAATATCCATTTAAATCAGCAATATATAACTCTATTATTGAACAAAGCATCAAAAAATCAGCACTGAAGAAAATATTGTGCATTTATTGCTACTCTTTTTTCTACTGAATTGCATGTTGATACAAATTTTTTAAATGTTTAAAAACTATTCTTAAAACTTTTATCCATTTAAAGACCTATGGTGTTTTTATTTGTAAAGTGTCATTATTCCATTTGTCTTTAATTAGATTTTAAAAATGACATAACACAAAATCTTAAGAAAGATGGGGAGTATTCTAAATAAGCCCAACAGATGATTAGAAATATGCCTTTATTATTTAATTTGTTGTCATCAAAGAAAAAAATCCAAATTGAAAAATTCTAATGTAATTCCTACACCCTGTAGGTTGGCAGACTTTTTTGTCCATAAAGGGTCAAATAGCAAATAGTTTAGGTTTTGAAGTCGTACAGTCTCTGCTACAACTATGCTGGTGTAGCACAAAGCATCCATGGTCAATGCATAAATAAACGAGCAAGGCTGTCTTCCAACAAAACTAAGTATCAAGCTACTTTGCCCTGTGGCTATCCTTTGCCAAGCCCCTCTATACTCCAAGAATTTATCCATAAACCTCTAAAGATTACTTTTTTTCACTAAATATTATCATAGCTTTTTGAGGAGGCTTAAAATAAAGAACACATTAATAGATAGAAAAGAAGAAGGAAATTAAATGATGCTAATGCCAAAGATACTTCCTCGGTAGCTCAGTAGTAAAGAATACACCTGCCAATGTAGGAGATGTGGATTCGATCCCTGGGTCAGTAAGATCCCCTGGAGGAGGAAATGACAACCCACTCCAGTATTCTCACTTGGAAATCCAGTGGAGAGAGGAGTCTTGCAGGCTACAGTCCATGAGGTCACAAAGAGCTGGACACGACTTAGCAACTAAACAACAACAACAAATGCCTAAGATACACTGATGCTGAGTTTTCAAGAATGAAAAACACAGCTATGGACACTACCATTAAGGAGATCGCAGAGTAGGGTTGAAAATAGACTTTAAATAAATAATGAAAGAAATAAAAATAAATCACAAACCTGAAAATGCAGAGGTCTGTAATTCTAAAAATATCCACTAAGCTTTCCTTAGCTACTGACTCTTGGGCAAGTATACAAGAATGAGTAGGCATTTACTATGTTTTTAACTCTTTTCATGGAGAAGGAAATGGCAACCCACTCCGGTATTCATGGCTGGAAAATCCCATGGACTGAGGAGCCTGGTGGGCTACAGTCTATGGGGTCACAAAGAGTCGGACACGACTGAGAGACTTCTCTTCTCTCTTCTCTTCTAACTCTTTTGAAGCAAGGAAAAGAATTTTAGGAAAAGAAGAAAAATTTTTAAATCACCTAAAATTTCTATGAATGGGTTATATAAGAGGAAAGTAGTGCCTTTGACAAACGTAGTGTCATTTCTGTTGAGAGAGAAGGAGAGACAGAGACGGGGATTAGGACACAATGAAATGAAGCTGCAGACACAGCTTTTCTTTATCCTCAGAGCAAATGCGGATCCAGGTGACTGACAGGCTAAAATCTGCACTCTGACAAAATCGCTCTCACCATGGTACAAGGGGACTACATGGAAGAGGGATGGGGTGTGTTGAGTGTTGAACAAGAGACTAAGATGGATTTTAATGAGGACTGTGGAGGTGAGTTGGGCTGTGGGGCTGTGACATCTTCTAGAGGACTTTCAGGAAGCAGCGTCAACAGAGCTGGGAAGCAGGCTGGAGACAGTACTTCAGAAATGAATATCACTAAACCAACAAAAAACCCACATAAGCCTTAATATGCCCAATACTGAGAGTACAGCAGAAACTGCTATTTGCCTATAGAATGCTCATTTTCTACTACTTCTAATAGAAAATACAATTTTTTTCCTTTTTATTTTATGTTGGAGTATAGTTGATTGACAGTGTCATGTTTCAAGTGTACAGCAAAGTGATTCATTTATACATAAACATGGACCTATTCATTCTCAAACCTTTTCCCACTTAGGTTATTACAGAACACGGAGCAATCTTCCCTGTGCTCTACAGTGGGTCCTTGTTGATTATATACTTTATTTTTTAATTTTTTATTGGAGGATAATTACTTTATACTCTAGCGATGCTTTCTGCCATACATCAACATGAATCAGCCACAAGCGTACACATGTCCCCTCCCTCTTAAACCTCACTCCCACCCCCTTCTGCCTTCCACCCCTCTAGGTTGTTAGAAGAGCACCAGTTTGAGTTCCCTGCATGACACAGTAAATTCCCACTGGCTCACTGTTTTACATATAGTAATGTATATATTTCAGTACTACCCTCTCAAGTCTTCCCACCCTCTCCCTTCCTCACTGTGACCAAAAGTCTGTTCTTTACGTCTGCGTCTCCTTTGCTGCCCTGCAAATAGGATCATCATCACCATCTTTCTAGATTCCCTATATATGCATGATATTTGTCTTTCTCTTTCTGGCTTACTTCACCCTGTGCAATAGGCTTTAAGTTCATCCACCTCATTAGAACTGACTCAAATGTGTTCCCTTTTATAGCTGAGTGATACTCCATTATGCATATGTACCACAACTTCCTTATCCATTCATCTGTCAATGGACGTCTAGGTTGCTTCCTTGTCCTACCTATTGTAAATAGTGCTTCAATAAACAGGTATATGTGTCTTTTTCAATTATGGTAGAACCAAAATTTTGTTGTGAGTGACAACATGCTGAGATTGAAAAGATCCTGATATCACAACCTAGACAGCATATTAAAAAGCAGAGTCATTACTTTGCCAACAAAGGTCCATATAGTCAAACCTATGATTTTTCCAGTGGTCATGTGTGATGTGAGAGTTGGATCATGAAGAAAGCTGAGCACCGAAGAACTGATGCTTTTGAACTGTGGTGTTGGAGAAGACTCTTGAGAGTCTCTTGGACAGCAAGGAGATCAAACCAGTCAATCCTGAAGGAAATCAGTCCTGAATATTCATTGGAAGGTTGATGCTGAAATTGAAGCTCCAATACTTTGGTCATCTGATGTGAAGAACTGATTCACTGGAAAAGACACAGATGCTGGGAAAGATTGAAGGTGGAAGGAGAGGGGGATGACAGAGGATGAGATGGTTAGATGGCATCACAGACTCAGTGGACATCAATTTGAGCAAATTTTGGGAATTGGTGATGGACAAGGAAGCCTGGCATGCTGCAGTCCACGGGATTGCAAAGAGTCGGACACAACTGAGTGATTGAACTGAATTGAACTGAGAACAACAGTTTTGTTGTAAGCAACAACATGCAGAGACTGAAAAAATCCTGATATCCCAGGCTCCTTTGCAGACGGAAAAAATGTGGAGACACAGACTAACACTCGTGAATGAAATGCAAGTAGGAGCTGCGGGGTGAAGCTTCTGAAAATGGATGACGTGGCCAGCATGTGCTCAGTTGCCTCTTGATGTTCTTCCTGGAAGGTGGAAAAAATGGATAGAGTTCTTGCTGTTTCGGCAAAGTATATAAACAAAATTGACAATTTAAGAACAAGAAACATGGAGAAGGAAATGGCAACCCACTCCAGTATTCTTGCCTGGAGAATCCCATGGACAGGAGCTTGGCAGGCTGCAGTCCACGGGGTCACAAGAGTTGGACATGACTTAGCCACTAAATAACAACAACACAGGCGTCACATTCAACTTAATGTCTAACAACTAATGGCTTTTGAAGACAAATGGGCAAGACAGACATTTATGTTCCCTACTGTGATATCAATACACAGTTCCCACACTCCCCTTTACTCTGCCTATTTAACTGGCCACAGCTAATAGTCTACTCAAACTTATACTCCCCAACTGTTTGTAGATTTAGGAGGAAAGGAAACTGGAATAAACTGATAATTCTGTAAGCATTAGTCTTTCTTGAGGCTTTCCAGAATATAAGACCCATTCTGAACCCTGTGTGGAAAGAGCCCAGAGCAAGGTAGAGGCCTGGTGTCCCAGCTCAGAGTAGCCACTGACTTCAGGGAGATGTGGTTTTAGAGCTGAAGGAGTTAACTAGTGCCCTGACCACACCGGAGATGCAGAAAGAGATCCAGGAGCTGAAGAAGGAATGTGCTGGCTACAGAGAAAGACTGAAGAACATCAAAGAGGCCACCAACCATGTGACTCCAGAAGAGAAAGAGCAGGTGTACAAGGAGAGGCAGAGGTACCACAAGGAGTGGAGGAAGCGCAAGAGGATGGAGGAAGTTGGGATAGAGACTGATGAAGATCACAACGTCAAGCTCCCAGATCCCTGAGAGGCTCCCCCAGCAGGACTGGAAACAGAGACGTCCTGGACTGGCTGCTGTGTTTAGGCCAGCTCTTTTGTTCCTGGTGCTGTCCACCTTTGAGCACACACCAGAGTACTGGGTGGAGGGAGGAAGCACAGGTGGCCCAGAGAGGATGGGCATACTCATTTCATCAGCCACATGTCGACTGCTTAAACTCAACACTTAGATGTGGAACAACACTAAAGGACAGCATTTGGCAATATTTATTGTAATATCATTTGATATAAAAATATTTCATTTCCTCTGGATAATTACACCTCCCAAATATCAAACCTGAGGAAGGCAAAAGGGAGCTTGGGGAACAAGGGCAGAGAGAGGCTGCCATACACAGCATTCAAGAAGCCCAGGGCCTTACCCAGGATTCTCCTGGGCTCTACAAATCAGAAGGCCTTTAAAGAATCTCCTGTACCCACCTTCACCCCACCCCAAGTCCTGGGAGAAATGTAGGAAGCACTGAGATGGTAGAGAGCCAGATACACTTGACAGAAAGGTTACAAGTAGTCTAGAGGCCAGTTAATTCTCCAAAATTGTAACTTTAGCAAAACTGCATTATTTAGAAAAATTAAACACTTTGAATATGTAAAAAAAAAAAAACAAGAAACAGCCAGAAAGAAGACCCTTGATTCCTCACAAAATTATGAAGCTGGTATACCAGCCTTGGACTGCACATAGTACATGCGATAGAGCTTCTTTATATCAGAGGGAAGTAAATTCCAGCTTGTTAAAAACGTTATCTGAGTTTTTTGTGATATGAAGCTGAACCAATATCTGATATAAATGATGTTCATTAAAAATACATCACTGCATCAGTCTGATTGAGGAAGCTCCTAATAACCCAGATCTTCAAAGGTGTTCTAGGTGGTTCTGATACAGGTGATGGTGGTGGTTTAAGGTCTGGAGTGTGGGAACCACAGTCCCACCAACCTTTCCCCTGCCCTCCTACATTTTCCACCAAGTGTGACATAAATACAAATGCCCTTTGTCCACAAACACATTTTCAGTAGCATCAAAACTGTATCAAGAAAACTACTCTTACCAGGAACAAGAATACAGTGGATGGAAAACTGTTATATATGTGATAATAAACAGAAGTATCCACTTTCAAAAAACAACATTTTAGGGGCTGATAGAAGAAAACATACATCTCTCACTTGTAAGAGGAAAAATTCTGACTTTTGGATAAATTCCCATCTCTTTAATGAAGAAATTGAAGCTTAGAAATCATACAAATAGTAAACGGCAGAATCAGATGCACATCTTTGTCTCTTTTACTCCAAAGACTGAGATCTTTGTGTTTATTATCACATAACGTTTTCACTCCTCAGTTTTAAAGTGAAACGTTTCATTGAAACAGTTCTAAATCCTTTTTATTTCTAATGTCTGATGAATCTACTGTTTCCTATAAAGGAATTAGAGAAATACTAAAATCATCTCAAGCATCTTAAAGCCCTCCCTAGGTCTTGAGGGGGCTGCACATATAACAGATGAGCCCTTCTATACTGAGAAGTCCTTCTTCATCCTCCAGAGGTGACCTGGTAAAATTAGAACTTGAAGGGTCTTTAGGCTCATCCAGTCTAAATCCTTTGTTTAAATTGAGGAAACTGAAGGCTGCTACACCGATGACATGGCTAAAGACACAGCCAGGATGGGCAGAGCTGAATCTGGCATTTCAGTTTCCCGTTCTAAACCTCACGCCCTTTGTTATAGTCTGACACGCTACCGAAAACATCAGGAATTTGAGAGGAGCTCCCTTTCATGTTGCTAGCCGTTTGCAGGCTCTCCTTTGTGGGAAAACAAAATCACGAACTCTGCACACTGTTGTGGCTTCTAAGAGACAGCTCTGGCAGGTTTGTGCTGGGGCTGTGGGTGCCTGCTGAGCACTGTGGGTCTGCTGCACAGAGGTAAGTAGCAGCGTCCTCAGCCTGGGAAGCCGTGATGGACAACGAACTGCTTTTGATGGAGTTGTCAAGTGTGAAGTGTAGTCTCCCACTATATTTCTGTCTCTCATTTGAACGCATTAAAATCAGATGAACAAAGCCTCGCCTTGAATCCTGTCTGTACCACTGTAAGTCAGTTATAGTAATACTTTTATAACTTCAGTTCATGGTGACATTTTCACCCTCCTGGATGCTCAGGGTCTGAAGATTCTGTTCTTGCTGGCTATTCACCTCTAGGCAGAAACACAAGGACAGAGGCCAGGAGTCAGTCACTGCATTTTCACTCGCTAGTGTTTCCATTTCCTTCCATAATTTGAGGGTACATTTCCCAATAAACAGGCTTTCCTGGTGGCACAGTGGTAAAGAATATGCCTCCAAAGCAGGAGATGTGGGTTTGATCCCTGGGTCAGGAAGATCTCCTGGAGCAGGGAATGGCAACCCACTCCAGTATTCTTGCCTGGAAAGTTCCACAGACAGAGGAGCCTGGTGGGCTACAGTCCATTGGGTCACAAAGAGTCAGACAGGGCTGAGTGACTAACACTTTTACTTTTCACTTTTCCCAATTAAAGAGATTTTGCCCCTCAGTCTTGTGGGCTTTGAACTTTGGTCACCCTTTTCCCATCACCAAGAGCCCCAACTCACTGGCCAGCTGAAGCCACAGAATCACCAAAGACAGAGCCAGAAGCTTCTCCATTCTTCTTCTTTAGGGGGATCATGGAAGACGCAGCTCTTGCCCTGAAATAAAGCCAGGTTCCTCAGTCTAGCTCTCTTTCTGAGTGTACTCATCCAGTCCCACTGAGTCCCAGGGAGAGTCTCAGGTTTCTTACCCAGCCAATCAAAGGAAGCTTAATCTTCTGATTTCAATACAAACATGCTGATTTCAAACAAAGTGAGCCTGAGGAGAGAGGCAATGCCATCTTATGGGGGCAACATCATCCTGCAAAGAGAACCACTCGAGGAAGATGAAGTGTGTTAGGGCTGGGTCAGAGGAAATCGCAAAGCTGCTCTATTCTCTGCCTTTGTTGAACTCCAGTTCCAGCCTGGAGTGAGAACAGATACAATCTTATGCACTAAAAACTCAATTAAGAAAGAACATTGATGCCAGGTATTTACAGAACACCTCTGAGGAGCTCTGTTAGACTTCTTACAGTCACTTCTGATACCATGTCCTTCTTCTTTTTTCCTAACTTGCCTAATGCTGGGATGAGATTGTATATCAGTCAAGGTTCTTATTTATGAGTAACAGAAACTGACTCTGGCAGAATTAAATAGAAAAGGAATAAGTTAATTAATATTGGGTTTGCCTCAGAATCTCCAATACGGTCAGAGAACTGGACTCCAAAGCTAGCTCCAGAGTCAGTCTACCAAACATTTAAGGAAGAGCTAACACTGATCCTTCTCAAACTACTCTCAGAAGTTGCAGAGATTGCAGAGGAAGGAACATCTCAGTGAAACCTGCTTCATCACTTTGGTCTCATGACTTCATGGTCCGGCCTTGCTAGCAGTCTGAAAGTTATGCCTGAGCTCAAAAGCACTGATTTGCACTTACCAAGTTTGACCTCACTAATGCTATTGCTCAGGACCTAATCTGTCAATGACACAGACTCATACTGAGTCCCTGATGTGGTGTCATTCCCCAGAGAGACTTCCCAGATGCCTGGTGACGACTGGATTACATTAGATATCGCCTATGATGGAGACGGCTGAGATCTGTTCTCAGTGGAATAGACACTTTTACCTGCTGTTGTACTCTGCCAGCGTCCTCCTCATAAACTCACAGAATGCCTAATTTCAGCAAGATATTCCCCACAGCATTTCTTCTGAGGAAGAAACGATTTTCACAGCAAAAGATTACAGCCATGGGCACACGCCCACAGGATTATTTTTCTTACCACATACCTTATCATCCAGGAATGGCTGACCTGATTAAATTTAGAATGGTTTATTGATTCTATGGGCTTCCCAGGTGGCACAGTGGTAAAGGATCCACCTGCCAATACAGGAGATGCAAGAAACACAGGTTTGAGCCCTGGATCAGTAAGATCCCCTGGGATAGGAAATGGGAATCCACTCCAGTATTCTTGCCTGGAAAGTTCCACAGACAGAGGAGCCTGGTGGGCTACAGTCCATTCGGTCACAAAGGGGACTGAACAACTGAGCACGCTCACACACATTGATTCTGTAATAGCACCGGTTGAAAAACAACTCTGAAAAGACGGCATTCTGTCTCATCGGATGCAATGTATTGCTTTATAGCAGAGATAAGTAATGGTGTTGTCTCCACCATAGCCAGAACGCATGATTCCAGAAATCAAGGAGGTGGCACTGGGAGTGGATCCTTCACTATTATTTTCAGTAACTCACTAGCAAGATTTTTGCATGCAATGTTTGTAACTTTGAGTTGTATTAGTTCTTAGTCTCTAAAAGAAATAATGCTTTCCCTAGGTAACACAGCAATGGTTTCACTGAACTGGAAGATAAGACTTCCATGTGGCTATTTGGGCTACATATGTCTCATGATCAATGAATAGAAAATGAGGTTACTGTACTGACTAGAGTGGTTTATACCAATTACCAACGAGAAATGGGGTTGTTGCTACATATCAAAAATAAAGAGGACTACGTCTGGAACCCAGGAGATTTCCTAGGGGAGCCTCTTGGCACTTCCATGCCCAATACTAAAGGTTAATGTTAAATTAAAACAACCAATAAAAAGACAAGATTTTTGAGTACTCAGATCCTTTGAGGATGAAGAATTGGGTCACACCACTAGGTAACTAACCCAATTCACAGAGGTTATGGCTGTGAGCAGGGAAAATATAAAATGTGTAATAAAAAAAAGTCGTCTATATCAACAGCAACATCACAACCAAATCTGGAATCAAAGAATGTAGTAGTTTTCTACATTTTCTTCTTGCTCTTTACTTTCATGTGTTCCTTTGTGTACACTGCCATTTTCTTCTTCCTTCTCCTCACTATACTTATCCTATATACAACTTGAGAGAGACTAACTTTACAATTTAGTCTGCA